GTAAAGAATGGTAAACAAATATGTGACAGGAATCAAGTGTTGATATAGTAATGTGGAAGTAGTAGTGGGGATGGCTGTGCCGGGCTAGTAATCTCTTCTACACAATGAGCTGACTCTGCCCCGGCCCCCATCACAGTCAGGAACAATAATGTGGCCCCCACAGAAAAAGTTTGGTGACCCCTGCTCTATGGCATACCATCCAACCTCCTCATAAACTTCAACATATCCAGAACTCTGCTGCCCGCCTCCTCACCCACACCCGCTCCCGAGACCACATCACTCCCATCCTCCAGAACCTCCACTGGCTCCCCGTCCGTCAAAGAATCCACTTCAAAGTCCTCCTCATTACTCACAAAGCCCTCAACAACCAGCCCCCCCCCCTACTTCACAGACCTGCTGCACCACCACACCCCTTCCCGCTGCCTCCGCTCATCAGAAGCCAACCTCCTATCCATCCCCACCCGCATCAATCACCGGACCTGGGGGGACAGAGCCTTCTCCGTCGCTGCCCCCTCCCTCTGGAACTCACTCCCACAATCCATCAGAGACTGCACTGACCTCACCACCTTCAAAGAACTTACAAAAACTCACCTTTTCAATCTGGCTTTTAATGTGTGATTGTTTTTGTATTGTTTGATTTTAATTTGACTTTAACTATATACAGTATATTTATTTGTTGTTCTTTTCTTTTCACTATATCTGTAAAGCGTCTTTGAGCACCTGTAAAAGCGCTAACAAAATAAATCTATTATTATGATATAGGCAGGTGTTTTGAAAGTCGTAGCAGTTGGAGGATAATAGTTATTATTCAACTAATTAGGTCCTGGTCAAGCAATATAGTACGAGTAGAAAGACTCCTCCACAGATAAGAGACCTCTTCCTCCGTATTGGATAAATCTGTTCAGTGGTAGCTTCGATCTTATGGTGTAAACATTCCTTATTAAAATGTATCTGTTTAAAATCAAATCAAATAATATATGAATTAGGTTTTGTGACAATTGCACCATAGTAGAATATAATTAATACATATTTACATAAATATAAGTTTAAGTTAAAATGTGCAATAAAGATCCTTGTACCACCATGCTAGCCGGCTTTAGCGTGATTAGCTTCTCCCTATAGCACAGAACGGTGAAAAAAGGATATAAATCTCTCTCTACAAGAAAGTGAAAGAGGACACAGCTTAAAAGGTAATCATTGAAGTTATTAAAAAATCAAATCAAATAAGAAAGAAAATATTACAAAACTAGCAGGAGCAACATTGGCGCATGCACACTAAAACATTTCATTTTCTTCTTTCCATGTCATGCATATTTAAACCCCTACTTTTTCTGTAATGTTATTTGTAATATTGTATAAGTTTGTTAAACTGCAACCCTTACAGTTTATTTAAATGCCTTGATCTCAAAATAGGCATATTCTTTTCATTAAAATATGTCTGATTGTTGGAATTTTACAAGACCTAATTAAGTTAGACAAAAAAGCCTATATACTTAGATAATAAGCTTTTGGTAAACTAAATAGAGTCATCACATTGCACATGACCAAGAATGCGAATGGAATGGCGCCCAGATGAAGATGAAATAACAGTTTTTATACCTGCAGCGAGCATTGTATAGTTCCACAAAGTCAGCAACCCATTTATTGTTTGTGAAGCAGCTGATTTTACGTCCGTGGAGCCCCACAGTCTCTGTTTTTTCTCTTAGATTTCCATCCTTCATAAATAATGGTATTTTCAGGCCTGGGACACCGAGGCAACACACATACATTTTCTAAATTGCTGGCATTCTCCTCTTTAAGTGTCAGGTTGCTAAAATAAAAACTCCTTCACTTCACGCTTAGTCTGTTGTATATTGAATCACGCCTCGGAAATAGAACACCTCATGTTTGAGGTCACCAAATAAAGTGCTATATTTTAGCGGCTGTTGTTATTGTTAGGCTGTATTATTATTATTATTATTATTATTTATGTGGGTGAGAGAGCTTCTGTTGTCACTGTCAGTCATTAACAGACACACAATGGGTCCTGACAGATGAGAGAAGCAAATGAATTCAAGACTGATATTAGGATCTGAAGTGTTACCATCTTGGCAAGAGCTGGCTGATTTCTTGGAATCTGCTTATTATATTGAAAATGTGTCCAGGGCTGGAAGATGAACAAATCAAACATAAATGAACAGGAAACTTGTTTTTTTCCCTCATTCTACAGCACACAAATAGCATCAGCATGTTTCTCAAAGCTCTGGGAAATGAAAATATGTAATGTCAAAGTGGCACGTTTTTCGGATATTTCAAATGTTGCCTGGCAGTACATTATTTATTCTGGTGTGGTTTTGTGGGGATTTAGTTTGAAATTGATTTAACATTTTCAGACATCCTGGCACAGGATTGTGTTTTTTACAAAAGATACTTTAGGAAAATAATCCCCATAATTTTGCTGTGAAAGAACCAACTAAAATGTTCTTTTAATGTACTAATACATCACTTTCCTTTACTCAAAATGTCACAAGACTCCATTATAATAACTGCCTGACTCCAGTTGGACTCCATCCTTCCAGTCTCTCTATTCTGCTTCCCCATTATGTTCCCAGTCCAGGCGATGCAGTTGATGGGATGGAGGCCATAGCTTTGTTCAGTCCCACAGGGAGAGTGGGATTTCTGCACAGGCTGAAGCTGCCTCTCTCTGTCGCACATTTTCTTGTTGCAGTCGATGAGGCGGCCAGTGAAGGCAGTGAGGCTTCCACTTCTTTTTAATAGGAAGTCTGATCGTTTTTGCAGGGAGATTTAACGTGAATGTAAGCCTATTTAAACATTCCAATGTGTCATTCACATTTCCTAGGATGGTACAGTACAATAACAGGAATACCTACTGTACTTCCGAAAATATGAAATAGTAAAACCACTAATACTCAAAGCGGTGATTTCCATCAAGATGTAAAGCCTTTTGCTGATTCCTTCAAAAATGAATGAAAGAATTACAAGAATTGGTTATAAAGGACTTTGGACTATACAGGATACTACAAACGTAGCATTGAGCTGTTTTGATTAGAGGTTGAATATCCTTTTCTTTCTTCCTTTTACTTTGAATGTCAGTTCAGTCTTCATACTTTCTGAACTCAATCTTGTTAAAGACTTCTGTGTTGAAAGGGCTCCTTCTAACATTCAATATGATCAAGTGTCCTTGTACTGTGGAGTTTTCTTTTCTGGTGTAAAGGCTATTTTAATGCGCGAAAGTTCATTTCTTTCATTGATGTTAATGGATACAATATATATAAAATCGCTTGCTCCCTTAGCACAGAGGCCCATTGATTTTACAGTTAGAAATATTTTGGGATGGTTTACTTTCACTTTGGGATGGTTATTAAAATCGTTTTTCAAAACTGCTGTGGGATGCTACAACTTTGTATCTTTTTTGTCGAACATTTCGATTCCCTTATAAAATAGGTGATAGGCAGTCTAAGGAAAAAACCTGAACATACAAGCCGTTACAATTTGTTTGCAAAATTGAAGCCATATCATTTAGTGTATGTTGTCATATATTTTTTTTTCATAAAACCATTCAAATAGAGATAGGATGAAAACAAATATATTTATAAAAAAGTAGCATCTGCAGTTACTCAAATCTGCATGCAGTCTCAATAATGAAATCTGAAAGAAAGCCCTTGAGAGATTTAGGGATTCCTCTTTGCCAACAGATGTTTGTGAAATGAAAGAGTTTCAAAGAGGAAAGGCCAGGGGAGGGGTGCAGAGGCAGGGCAAGAAAACAAGCAAAGTGTAATCTTGAGATGGAGGGAGAATGTTTGGATTCTCTCCGCATTTGCGCGTTGCGGGTTAGAGGACAAAGGATGAGGCTGATTTTCTACATTGTAAATGTGCAATCCCCCAGCAGAGGAGTACTGCATCAGGATCAAGACTCAAACAATGTCGCCTTGCCTTTATCTCGCCGCAACACTCTCCAAAAGACCTGCTGGAATTGACTCGCAGTCTGTTATTCCCAATGGACTGAAACACAAACAGCTCCCTCTCATTCAAGTGCAACTTCATTACGGCTTGAAATATGCTCGGATTCAAGTATACATTGCTTTTATATTCCTTGGCTTGTGGGTAACCAACATTTATTCAACACAGGACTGCCAATTGATCACAGTTTTTTTTCAGTCAGCAATAAAATGGCTGTAAAGTTTTGTGATAACCCCGAAATGCCAACTTTGACCTTTAGCTATGATAAAACATCAAACAACGCACGAATCTCAGAAATAAATTGCTCTGAGATTGGGAGATACAATCTTCCATTCGCCCTGTGTACAAATTCAGGTAAAAGAACACTTGTTAAAGACCTCCACTTTATTGGACCTGAGCTGTCACATCTGATAAAGCTCACTGTAACCATGTATGCGACCCAGGGACAGCGGGGAGACTGGGAGATTGGTTGGTGCTCGCGTGACACTGAAAAGCACTTTTCACTCAGGTTTCACTAGATGATTACTTCAAGCTGCAAAGAGAAGTTCCAGCATCAAAAGTGGCAGACTGCTACCTTAACTGCTATTATAGCTGTTTAAATGCAGCTCAAAAATGACAGACGTTGCTGCAATCTGGGAGCAACATTTGCCTGGAACACCTTGGACTTTAATGATGGCCATGAAACCACAAATGAGGAAGTGAAGTCTTCCGGTGTGGAATCAGGAATGAACACATTAGCGTGCGCTGACAGATGAGTCTTAATTGTTACCTCTGGCAAATGGGACTTCACACAAGAGAACAAAAGCTCTCCTCCCAGCACCCTGTTTGATGCAATGTGAAGATGACCTTGCTGCAGTGCACCCTCCGCAAGATCCTAAAGAGTTTATCTTGACAGACTCCCAAAGACTGTCTCTCAGGTGTCGCGCTGATAGACCAATTAATTTAACTCTGTCACGATCCGGGGCTTTAGAGGCTGCAGCTTGATGAATCCCTATTGTTCCTTTGCCTGTCTGGCTGTTTGCACTCCTTGAGGCGAGGCTACATTACTGTTTCAATGGCCTTTGGACTATTAGCCATGAAAAAACAGCTCTATTTTTCAATGAGCTTTGTCCTTTTGTTTGTTTTCTGTCCTATGTGCGATAACAGTGATAATATGCACTGCTGGATAAAAGAAACCTGGGTCGCTTGACATTTTCCACGCATATTAAATACGTTTAAGTGCTTTCTTTTTATGCCTACCATCATTATGTGAAACACAAATCCTAAAGTTGTTTCAGTCGCATGTTTTTACGATATAACATTTTATTGAATGTCACGCCATTTAAATGTATTTCTCCTTATCTCATGTCTTTACACCAAGATAAACCATATAATTAAAATAAGCTTTGTGGCCAAATAGCTATTCTTATTAAGAGAAATACGGTGATATTTAATAATGGTTCAATTACATTGATAACATTACATTGATAAAACGTTCACGTCTGATAGATATTAAGGAACAGCCAGGAGATGGTTAGCCTAGCTTAGCATAAAGACTGACCAATAGGCCCTGCTAAAACTTCAAGGTTCTTTATTTTGTCATACGGTGTAGTTATGCCGATGAACATCTTAGGTCACAGGCTTCTCCAACACAGATAAACAGAAAATTATAGTGCAAGTAAATAGTGCATGTAAATAGTAAATACAAAAAGAAAAATAGTTTAAAAAAGTGAAATAGTGCAATAAGAGTCTATATGCAAGTTATTGGAATGATATATTAGAGAAATAGAGAAATAATTACTAAGTAGCAGATGAATGTTATGGATGTTGTTTCAACAGTTCAGTTGTTTAGCAGTCTTATTGTCTGTGGTATGAAACTGTCCCTGAGTCTGGTGGTTTTAGTCCGGATGCTGCGGTAGCGCCTTCCAGACGGCAGCTGACTGAACAGTTTGTGGCTGGGGTGATGGGGGTCTTTTATAATCCGGAGGGATTTCTTCCTGAGCCGCTGGACACCCCGCTTTTTTTTCATTATAAACTTTGAAACGGACACGCTCAGTACAAATTTTCCCTCCATTCATTTTCATATGCACAAGGAGATCAATCTACATATCTAAATTGTTAGCAACACGGCTATTACTAACATGCTAATCAAAGCGAGCAAGAAAGAAAAAGGATCAAAAATAATTAGAAACCCATAATTGAATTGTTATGTTCCACAAATGTTGCTTTGAAATGCAGTTTTTCCTAATGTTGTGCTGCTGTCACATTTTTGCATCCAGTACTTTTTCAGTGGTGTTTAAGTTGTTTTATACATTGTGTATGATTATTGCAGGCCTACCGTCATTGCCCTGTTCACGGTGTTGTTGCCTGATTACGTGTTTCTCAAATCTCTAAAATGGAGGTTGTGAGTGATACTCTAATAGGTAAAAGCTTTAAATAGCATCCAGGTTCTACATTCGAAAGTGCAACTACTTATTCACAGTGTATTAAAATGGATAGTGTTGATGATGTGAATATGCAGCAGAACATGATGACATACAACAACATCAGTCTGACTGACCATTTTGCATTCCAGGCATGTCTGGGAGAAAGAGGGCTCAGTGGTCAACGTCCAGTCCATCCCCCGCATGCGCCTGGAGGCAGACGGGACCCTCCACATCTCCCAGACCTGGTCAGGTGACATCGGCACGTACACCTGCAGAGTCACCTCCGTTGGGGGGAACGACTCCCGCAGCGCTCACCTCAGAGTCAGGTAACCACCGTCACCCTCGCCTGGTTTTTATTTTAAATGTTGTCTCTCCTCATTGTTTCTATGCTATGCTCCAGTGCATAACACAAGAAGAAACAAGTTCCCACATGATCTACTAACTAGGAAACGTACACACATTAATGAACACTCACACACACGCTTTCCACCATCCTTTCGCTGCTTTTTCCTATTGACACCTCTGACTCATTTCCACATAAATGACGGTTTCTTCTCACCTCCCCTGTCCTCATTCTCACCTGACACACTTTCAGCCCCAGGGGACCCCCCACCCCCCTCCATTCCATCTGTGAGACTACACACTCACACAAACACCTCGGCATTGTTTTACTGTTGTTTCAAATCTTGTTTTCTCCCAAAACTTTGCTTGCCGTTGTTTTTCTTTTGCACACAAGCATAAATTCAATATGAATGAGACATCTAACTTTCTGTTAGCCAAACCGATGGACTGTCTGTGTCGTTCTCCGTCCCCCTATTGGCCGTTTCATTGGCTGGCTGCTTTCTGACCGTATACATGCTGTTTTGGTTCATTGCTATAAGATTGATCCATCTGTTTGATCTTATCTGAATTCATGGCTGAATGAATTAATGATCCATAGCTTTAGCCTCATGTATTCACGTCTTGCTCTGTCAATTCCTTTCCTATCTGTCTCCTGTCTTTCAATCCATTTCGCTCCCCTCTGGCGTTATCCATCTCCTTTTGTTTGCTCGTGTGACCACCTCGACAGCAAACCATCTTTGCAGTCTTGTCTTGCCACATTTCATCACCTGTCTTAACTGTTATAAAACATTCAGCCTTACTTCAGATTTGGCCCTAGACGTTTAGAGAGGACAGACATTTCCGGTAACTCGCTGTCCCCCGCGGATGATTTGCTGTGATAGGAGAGATTGTTTTATTTATCGAAAGTTGTCCTGCTGCTCCCTGCAGGCAGCTGCCCCATGCTCCAGAGAACCCTACAGCCGTGCTGAGCGCATCGGAAAAAAGAGCCATCGACCTGGCCTGGGCCAAGCCTTTTGATGGCAACAGCCCCCTCATTCGCTACATCCTGGAGGTTTCTGAGAACAGTAAGTCACAAAATATCCAGTCTTTTCCATTCAACCTTTAGCTTTGCTCACTATCTTCTATGCTTTGTATATTTTTCTATATAAGGGGTTATGGGGAGGGAAGTTGGCTCTTCGATTCCCAGTTGAGCAACGAGTAAAAAATACTTTAAATGTAGTTTGTTTTTATTTCTTATTCCATACTGTCAGGCTTCTATGAAGTCAATGTTTTTCTCAAGGCGCCTAACTGTAAAGCAAATACAGCAAATAACTCAAAAACACATTTAGAAGCAGCATCAATGAGACTAATTAAGCATGTCCATCATTGCTTTTAATCTCACGTTGGATGTATAAGCTTCCCTACAGTCAATCACTTTACAGCACTTCATGAATAAAATATGTTCTAAGCATGTTCTAATCTATATAAGTAGAAGCGAAGAACTGTTCAGCTTGAATCTGCAGCATAGTGTGCTCTCGGTCCCTTTTTCTGACCATGACTTGTTTCATTTATTGAATTAGAAGTTTAAATTGTGACCTGCCATGACAAATTGATTGTAAGCATGAGAGTGAAAATCCCTTCTGACGAATAATGAACATTTGCTAGAATTGTCTGAGTCCGTTCTTACAAAGTGTTACATTTCATGGGATGTTAAGACAAATGTTCAGCATAGCAATGAACAACATATGAGAGGAACAAGGCGTTGACGTTTATTTGTCTTTCTTCTAGACGCTCCCTGGGCCATCCTGCTGGCCAACATCGAGCCAGAGTCCACAGCGGTGACGGTGAACGGTTTGATCCCGGCGCGCTCCTATCAGTTCCGCCTCTGTGCCGTTAATGATGTGGGGAAGGGGCAGTTCAGCAAGGAGACAGAACGGTGAGCTGAAGACAGATCCCATATCTACTGCACATCAACACTAACAAGCTGGTCTGTCCCTTTTTATCCAATCATACAAAGTAGAGAAATACAAAATGCTAACACAGTTTGTTTTTGTAGGGGAAGCTACACTTTTTTTTCAGTATCCGAGGACGAAGTTAATGAAACATCATATTTCTTCTTTGTAGGGACACACTATTTTGATCAATTCCTTTTGTTTTAAATCCACCCTAACTTTCCTCTTTTGTAGTATTGTTTAATTGGCAATAGCAATGAGAAATGTGATAAATTCAAGCCTAGAAAATGAAAACCTGCAGAACATTTTGTTGTCGGCTAATACTGCATTGTGCTCAAGAAATCGGTTTCCTAGACAACCAGATTGACTGATCCCTTCAGTCAAGAGCCAGTGAGTAGGGATATAAGTGTAAGCATTCTGAAAGCCGCAGGAGGGATTTAGGTTCGAGGCAGCTTCAGGTTTGGCCTTTCTACGGCCTCACACAACTTCAAGCACTTATTCCTCACTCTATCTTCCCCCC